TTGTTGATGCCAAATTCCCAGTGGATGTAGTGGAATTTAAGGAGGTTAACTAGCATGTAAATGTGGTGCTGTCATCTTAGCTTATTGATAACAGTATCTTATAATAACTCCCGAATTTATTCGTGTGACTAAACACAAAACTCAGCACAAACGAGAAACCCAACACAAGTGAATGGGGATCCATGTCACCAAAAACAAGTACTGGAAGTTTCTTGTTTCCAAAGTTAAGTCTTTCCTTACACAATACTTTACAGGTAAACTTTGAGTACAGTGACTCTGGAAGACAGAAAAGTGAGACATTATTATTCATTGCTGGAACAGCAGAGCAGAGATGGGGTGGAGCACAGTGATGGTGTGAAATCCCTGTAAGGATAATTCTTCGTAGTTAGCGAGTCTCAGTGGTCTCAGAGTCTGGTACTTTTTGTTTTTATTGTTGCCGTCGGCAGCCTTGTCTGTGTAAATCGGCGTGTGTGTGCATGTGCACGTTGGCACGACTCCATGTGTAAGTGTGTATGTGTGCGTGCTCACTATGGGCTGTGTTTGTGGTACTGCAGAGGTGACAACAACCAAAAATACACTAGCTCTGCAGGCCTGAATTATTCAGAGAGTGGAGACGGAGCAGCGGGGGGTGGGGGTGGAGATAGATGGATGGATGTGAGACGGCAGCGACAGAAGAGGAAAACAGTGACGATGAAAAGGCGGGGACAACAAGAAGGTGAGAGAAAGTCGAAAAAGTGGAGACTCATCAAAAGCAAGCCACACACAGTTAACACACACAGGCTGATTGAGAGAGAGAGAGAACATACACAGAAAAACATACATTTCATTCTGGTCTGCACAATGAATTCTTGCATCGGCAGACTGCAGCGCTAAAACAAACAAACACAAATCCTTGCTTCTTACACACAAATATATCTTGGTGCACAAAAAAAAAACACATCAGCATTATCTCTTTAATGACATACATAAACAAACTGCATGCTTCCTCTGCCCTACCTATTTTCCTCTTATACCCACACACATCTTCCTCCATCTCTTTTATTCTATGCATGCGGGCTCCCATCGCCTTTCACTCACATTGAAATTCCATCTGTTTTTGCAATCTTTGAGGAGCTTTCACATTTCCTGTTTTCCTGCCCGGCACAGAGAGGGATGTATGGAAACCAAATGTGTGGAGCCACATTTATTGCCTCTTAGTGGGGAATGTACACAACCAATACCCAAAGAGCCTTACTGTACTCTGAAGAAAGATGTTTTTAGCATGGGTGGCCCTGCGAGGAGATTGTCTTAATGCTGTCATGAATAAATGTCAGCTAGATAGAAATACAAGTCAACCTCAACTGGTACTTTCAGGAAACCGTGTGCAAGACAAAAAGACCAACTTTAAACTACACTCTGACTTATATGAACAGTGTACAGGTGACTGCTGTAGAGGGATCATAAATACTGACTTCCGCAAAGCACTCAGACAGAGAGGAGAGGTCTGGAAATAGGCTGTTACTGTACATCTCAGGCAGCATCAGAGTCCCATTACTAGTGGATGTCTTCCCATCAGTGTGTGTGGACGATGAGAGGGGACTGGGGAGTAATGGATTTCATTCTGGAGATGATGACTGATGGACCAAATTTATCTCCAGACAACACATGACACAGCAAAGTGAACAGACCTGTTGAAGCCCATCAGTCACACAGATTGGTATGTGGTATAAGATCCAGCATCATCACAGCTGTTTTAAGCCACGCTCAATAATCCATTTCTAACCAATTAATAATTTACTTTCATGAACTGAAAACAGTGTGAAAGGGTTGAAGTTGTAAAAGAAAAACTCGGACAACTCCCAAACCGTACAACGTTGTGGTAGTGACCTGTCAATCACAAGGTAGCCCCACCCTAAAGCATATCCTGTTTTATCATCTATTTTACTGTAACTGAGACCATCATTTACTCAGTGAACATCATGGTGTATTGAAGAAGACTTGAAACCATAAACTATTGTTTAGTAAATTAAGTGAGAAGTAGGGTCATTGGCTGCCTTAAGTTAGTTGTCCCATCAGACCCATCAGAAGTAAGGCTGTAGAAGCAACGCTTTTTATGAAAATTTCAGACTACACAATATTTGTGTCCGTTACAATGGCACATTGATAATGGGTTATCGGGTTTCAGATAACCCGATTACAAGCCATAAGATCTTGCTGTTTTGCTTGGCCCTTACATGACTGACTACACGTTGGTCCAAGACCAGTCAAAGCTCGTCGTCTTTCACAATACGCATGATGTCACTAGGAAGGATTGGCTAGGGACCGACTTCCAGGAACAGGAATGTAAACAAACAATAGCGTTGTGTATGATGCTGGCTGTCATGTTTGGAAAAGCCTAAGAAAGATTAATGAAAAACGAATGACTTTTACTCCGTTTCATACTTCCACCTGCAGTACCAGTAACATCTTAATCTTTCACATCATTCCTCTTTGGCTTCACTATGTTTACAGTTGAAGAGAGCTTTGTGCTCCTATTGGTCAAAGTCACAGTGTGATGGAACACGTCGTAAAGCAAAGAAATTTCTAAACTATAATCGGGCTGATATTGTGTAGTCTTAACCAGCAAGGGTGCGTTTTCTTGTTAATAAAATGGCAGTTTTACCTTTAATAAAAGTGATATCACCCCTGATGAGAAAAGAAAGTGATTAGAGCAGAGGGAATTTTAAGAGATGATACTAGAGCCCAGGTTGATAGATGCTGGAAAGACATCAAAAGTAATCCTAAACAAAAAAAATGCATCCATCCATCCATTTTCCACCGCTTATCCGTAAGCAGGCCGACCCAGACTTCCCTCTCACCAGCAACATGTTCCAGCTCATTCTGGGGGATCCGAGGCGTTCCCAGGCCAGCTGGGAGATGTAATCCCTCCAGCGTGTTTTGGGTCTTCCCCGGGGTCTCTTCCCAGTTGGACGTGCCTGGAAAACCTCCAGTGGGAGGCGTCCAGGAGGCATCCTAATTAGATGCCCAAACCACCTCAGCTGACTCCTTTCGAAAAAAATGCAATAAAAAATGAAGAGAATTCATGCTTTAGGTGTGTAAATATTGAGGACTAAGTATTAGGGTTATGTTAATTTTTTAACACTTCTTGGACAAAAGGTTTTTACTTGTAGGAAGATTAATACTTAATACTCAAAGCAATCAAACCACTGTTTTTTGTATTTTCTACATGAGCCAACAGATAGGCCTGCTGATTCCATGTGAGCAGGACTTGCAGAGAAACAGTGTTCGTCAGGGAACATTAGCTTAGAGACAATTAGGTTTCAGTTCTACTGAGGCCATTAGAGCTTTTAACTGGCTGCCGAAGGAAAGGAAGGAAGGAACAGGAGATGGAGATGTGTGTGTGTGTGTGTGTGTGTGTGTGTGTGTGTGTGTGTGTGTGT